TCTGACATTATCAGGTTTCTTTGTCGTGTTCTGCAGCTGTATTAGCAAATCTTGTATATGTTCTGCAGGCACAACTCTCGCTCGCCAGCACTGGCTTACATGTCATGCACCTAAAGAGCCTCTGCACCCTTACGTTTAAATCAAAACAACGAGGATTCCAATAGAATCGGTAACACCTATTCAGAATTAAGCCATGTTTCGTCTGTCCATCCATAACATTAAACATTCCTCTGTGATAGAGGGTTTGAATCCCTGGTTCGTCAGCACTATGCCCATTTCCTTGGGCTTCATTAACGTTTTTCACACGTCTACAACAGGCCCTATTTTGTATCACTCGTACGTAAGCCCAAATGCAGTGGAATAATTTAAAACAAGATTAAATCTATCTCATACTCCTTTCATCATAAATGGCTCATTTGATTCCATTTACTTTGAGATAACGTTCATATTTTATTTCTTCTTCATCTGCATATGCATTATTCAACCTAACTACGTTGGGTGCCAGTATCTATAGTTCTTGCAGCACGAAGTTCATGGTTCTTCCGGAAAGGCCACGAATTATCTGATGTATGTCAGAATTATAGATGATGACATAGCTTGAGTGCATTCATTGGTAAAAACATGGGTTTAATTAGCTATTTTCATCGAACGATCCACAGATAATGACTGCACGTAATCTTGTATTTTATGAATAACACATGACATTAGTGAATGATAGATTTTTCTGGTGCAATGATCAGTTGAATATCTGCTGAAAGTTTTGAATATAATGTACCTGCAGCAATCCTTAGTATTCCATGGAACTGTTGTTTATTCAGTTTAACATTTTGCCTTATTTCTTGAACTCATGCCTGAACATTCGTCTGTGAACTCAAATATTTGGGACACTCCAATGTCTGCCTTTTAAATTACTATTGTGACGTACTAAAATGTTCAAGAGCATCTATTTCACAGCATCCTGGGTTCATTCATGGATGAAACATGTTCAAAAACGATAAGAGTAAATTTGATTTAGGAATATCTCTGTGTATGATTTGGTCTCTCTATTAATAATTGTTGTCAATCATAATTTATCATTCTTAACGTATTCACTGAGATAGGACAAACTTTGCCATCTGATAATGCATAGCTTACACATATGTGCAAATGTTGCATGTATCTCTCGATGAAATCTAAACAGCTATGCTCTATAACGGTATTAAGTTTACCATTAGGAAAACACATCAATAGATACTAACACAATAACCGAACATTCAGTCTTAATCCTTGTGTCAAAACCTGTTCAGATGAAAAATGTGTACCTTCAGATTACATCAATCCCAGTTACAATCAACTCGCTTCCTCATGAGCACAATTCTGACAGACCATGTGCATCCTTGCCAAATGGATCCCATATTCTATCACCAGCGTATAATTGCATATTATTAGCCTCGAGTCGTGTGTCCGTCTCTACCTGAGCAGAGAGAGCCCAAATATCGATCTTCTCTGGTCATTACCTTCCGTGTTCAATTATTGATCACCGCCGGTGTTTATATCATGTGTGACCTTTCTTGATAGTATTGATTTGTCAACAAAATATGTACATGACCGCGACAAAATGGAGCTTTTATTGTGGATTAATACCTGATGAATCCAATGGTATTATACCGGATACTCAAGATTCTTAGGCGCATAAGAGAATGTGAGAAATAAGGTATTTGAAAATACATTCAGGATCAATATACTCGTGTACACATTTGTGTTCTTCAAGAGTTTTACCTCCCTGGTATAAAATGTGTTGGGTTTTCAGAATGTGAATTGTATATTGTATGGTATTGTGCCGTTGCTATCGCACTAAGTCTTGTCATGAAGCGCTCCTTTACTAACCTTCTATATATGTATGACGTCTTTTGTAAACTACGCCCAAGATCTAGAAGATTATGCAAGCTCAGGTGCATAACCATATCACTCTGCATAAGCGTAGACATATACTCATGGAAACAAATAAGGGAACACATGAAAGTACAAGTGTTCCTTTATACTTTTCCAGGTTTCTTCACAAGGTATGCACTGCACTGTTGGTGAAATTCTGGAAATAAGTACAGGAACACTTGTACTTTCATGTGTTCCCTTATTCGTTTCCATGAGTATATTTCCGGACTTCACATTTCATAAGGTTACAAGTATTACCATACATCTGTGGGTGAAATTCTGGAAATAGATAAAGAAACTCTTGTACTTCTTGTACTTCCCTTATTCGTTTCCATGAGTATATTTCCGGACTTCACATTTCATAAGGTTACAAGTATTACCATACATCTGTGTACATAAGGTTAGATGTATTGGTACAGTAAACTACTTATATAACGAACCCGGTTATGACGAAATGACGGATATATCGATTACCTTACCTTATATATAAGGGTGTACAGCTTCTTGAAGTGGCATTTAGAAGTTGGTATGACAAAGTGGGACCATTTTTAGGTATAAAAGCTTATTAAATATATATATTAAGTATAAATATTGCCTTATACAATTCAATGTTATGGATATTGCTGTACGTTGCTGTATATGGGTAGAAACATTGCTATACATCATTGCGTATAAGGGGCGGTGGGGTAACCTAGTGGTTAAAGCATTCGCTCCCCACACCGAAGACCCGGGTTCGATTCCCCACATGGGTACAAGGTGTGAAAACCATTTCTGGTGTCCCCGCCGAGATATTGCTGGAATATTGCTAAAAGCGGCGTAAAACCATAATCACTCATTCACTCACTCATGTACATAACCTAAAAATATTACCATTTGTCACTGGACACAAAGTTAAAGGTATTATTATCCATCACTGTGTTCAAAGTAAGAAATATATCCATTAAGGCTAGAAATATTGGCATATATCTTTGTACGCAAGCCCAGAAAAGTGAATATTTCGCTGCTCGGCAATTTCGTTTTATCCCAGATTTTATTTATCAAAGGAACACATTGAAAAGAAAAAACATTAAGAACGATAGTGACGTCGGTGAAAGGCGTTGAATTTCTTGCTAAATCAGATAGAGTGTGAGTAATATGTAATTGTTCCGATATATATCTCAATCGTTAAACTCCTTCAATCCTACTTCAAAGGAAAACCTGTTATGGTCGATTGTTCCGTGTGTATCGATGCACTGTTTACAGAAACCAAGCTGCTTCCACAGATGTTTCCAATATATAAAGGCATGTGTTTCTCTTTCAACGTGTGTCTGTAGGCTAACAGCCGCATCGACCGCGGGGACATTATGGTGGGGATCCACTCCTTGTGTTTCTGGTGCACATCTGCCGTGGGCGATGCTGTACATGCGATGGTTCACATGTATGTGTTGTGTAAGGCCTCGCACCAGAGACAAGGCCATTGGCACTTGCTGGGTCTGGCAGCAGAATGGAGGGTTGCTGTGCCAGTTGATCTAATTACTTATGGTGTCGTATTGTATGTGGTGTGTGCGTGTGTGCGTGTGTGGTAACGTGTTTGTTGACTTTAGGGGCGTCGTGGTATATGTGCTGACTGAGTATTAACTTGTGAAGTATTTTGTTTTAGTCTCTTTCCCATTCATTCTTTCTCCAAATTATCCTTGTCCTTTCCCATCTTTCCCTTTCCATCTCATTTTTGTTTGGTATCTTACCCATTTTCCACCCATCCCTTATCCCTCTTATGATTTCGCTTCTCCCTCTATCCCCTGATTCCCCTTTCTTTCTTCTTTCTCTCCATCCCTCTCTTTCAGTTTTACTCCCTCTTTCCTCCTGATTCCCTCTCTCTATATATAGCCCTCCATCCCTCTTTCCTCCTGATTCACTCCACTCTCTCTCTCTCGCTTTCCTTTATCTTCATCCCTCTCTTTCCCTCTTTCTCCCTCTACCCCCCTGAACCCCTCTCTCCTTTCTCGTCATATCCCTACATCCCTCTTTCCTACTGATTCCCTCTTTCTCTCTCTTCATCCCACTTTCTCCCTCTATACTCTGATTCCGTTCTCCCCTTTCTCTCCATCCGTCATTATCCCCTCATTCCTTTCTCTCCTTTCCTTCTCCCTCTATCCCGTGATTCCCTCTCTTCCCTTTCTCTCCATATCCCTCATCCTCTGTCTCTTCTTATTTCTCACGGGCGGTGGGGTAGCCTGGTGGTTAAAGCGTCTGCTCGTCACACCGAAGTCCCGGGTTCGAATCCTCATATGGGCACAATGTGTGAAGCCCATTTCTGGTGTCTCCCGACGTGATATTGCTGGAATATTGCTAAAATCATGCTCACTCACTCACTCTTATTTCTCACTCTCACTCTCATTTTCTCATCCGTCTCTCTCTCTTCCAGTCTGTCTCTCCATCTCTTCCTCCCTCCTTACGAGCTTTACCTGTTTCCACCCCTTTTCACACTTCTCTCTTTCCACACAACTGTTCAGCTTCCCATAACCATTCCTCACGCCCCTCTCACCCTTACTTTGTGTCCCTCCTTTCCAACACCCCCCACCCACACTCCCTTTCTGTTCCCCCATCTGACACACCACTCCTCTCTCCCTAAACCCTAACCTTTACCCTCCCTCAGCGTGTCTCGAACCCATCCTATACCGTCTCATAACTCTATTACCATGATTAGCAATATCCATTGACCTTCGAACACCCGACAATGAAAATATGCACTTTGCATCATGACATGAACAAATGACTGCATATATAAATAATGCATCCGTTATATGTCGCTCTTGCATCAACTTTATAACGCAACCAATCGAACAACCCCTGCATGTATGCATGCATATATAGATCCCTTTGTTCCAAGGTACTTCAGATCTATAACGCAAAATGGCCCAATGCAGTACGTCAGAATCATCCTTACCGTTTATTGACAGGTATGATTATGTGCTAAGTGTTCTGACTCTGGTAAGCTTCTTTTCATGTTGATAGCTCATGAGGACGGCATTTTCCATTGTCTTCCGGATAATAACATGTGATGTTTGCCTACATGAATCACGTACTTCAACAATGCGTCTTTGTTTCAGTTTGGCCATGAAGAGCAACAACGGAAATCAGGAACAGAGGCCCAAAGACACAAAATTAGGCACTATACCTGAGAAGGACGACCCGTAAGTATGACAGCTTACATAGAACGCAATTGTCTCGAAATGGGTCGAATGTTACCAGCAGTTGCACCATGAAAGGCGGCTGCAGAAATTGGTTCAGTTACATTTGGGTTCTTCTACTCCTAGAATTAGCTTTAGTACGTTCAGGGTGTGTGAGTATGTTTTACGCCGCTTTTAGCAATATTCCAGCAAAATCACGGCTGGGGGCACCAGAATTGGGCAACACATTGTACCCATGTTGGGATCGTACCTGGTCTTCCGCATGATGATTGAAAGCTTTAACCATTAGGCTACCCCGCCGCCCCTTATACGTTCATAGATGTGTATTTCTAAGGAGCTTTCCATTTGATATTCGTTTGGAGGGAATAGGGATAGTTTTGAAAAATGACACCTTGCATCAGTATGCTGTTTGTGGAACACAATATATTTTTCCAACAATCTGAAGCATAGCTATTTTGTTCTAAGATTTGTGGGATAGATGCTCTTTTTCGATCAGTACGTCAGCATGGAACATATAGTGAAAACATTATAAATGTTATTAATAACATTATTAATATGAAATGCCTCGCCCATATTAATACCCGTGATGATCCGGGTTAGAATTGATCTTCAGTAACCCATGCTTGTCGTAAAAGGCGACTAACGGGATCGGGTGGTCAGGCTCGCTGACTTGGTTGACACATGTCATCGTATCCCATTTGCGTAGATCGATGATCATGCTGTTGATCACTGGATTGTCTGGTCCAGACTCGATTATTTACATACCGCAGCCATATAGCTGGAACATTGCTGAGTGCGGCATAAAACTAAACTAACTCACTCACTCGTCCATATGAACTGTTCGAAAATAATTGGGATAATTAGACAATTTCCAATTGCAACAATTCTCTCCTATTTGATTTTCACACATGCCAGTCGATGCTTACAAGGTACACTATTATAAAGTAACACCTCATGAATGTGTCAAAGATTCGGGTTACAGTTAGACCTCACCGACCTATGCTTGTGGAAAATCCGAATTACAGCGGCTGTCAATTCGCATCCCAATTGTGTGGATCGATGCTCATTTTTGGTGTTAATAAGTGGATGTCTGGTCCAAATTCGATTGTTTACAAATTGCTTTTATACAACATGAATATTGTTGACTGAGTCGTCAAACAATAACGACCTGTCGCGTTTCTGGGGTTTTTTCAGTTCGTTTGAAAACATTTTGCTGACAATTATTTACACTGCACGAAAAAACATATTTTCAATCATGGAATGTACATGTACATGGAATAAACGGTTATTAAAACTGTGTGTATGCGTGACCCCTTTTCACAAAATTGTCTAAAGGCTTTTACTTCTATTTGAATGCTTCCTCTACTGTGTAGTCTGATGGCGTATTTGTGGAGACTCTCTTAATACATTTTAAAAAATTGGAATTCACTTTTCGTCTAATGCTACTGAAACAAACAAAAATGGGTTAAATAAAGTTCACCGTTTTCTGTGTCAAAATAACTATTTTGTGAACAAGTTTCTTTTAGTTTTTTTACATAACACGGTTTTTTTAATTTTCAAAATAAAACACTTAACATCGAAAATATACTATCTTATCACATGTCCCTTAGCATGTGACCCGTGAAGATCCTGGTTAGAATCGATCTTCAGTAACCCATGCCTGTCGTAAGTGGCGACTAACTGGATGTCATCGTATCCCATTTGCGTAGATCGATGCTGATGCTGTTGATCACTGGATTGTCTGGTCCAGACTCGAATATTTACGGACCGCCGCCATATAGCTGGAACATTGCTGAGTGCCGCGTCAAACTAAACTCACTCACTCACTCCCTTAGCATGGGTCCTGTTCGTCTCTGCACCGCAAGTTATGACCCAGTATTGAGTACAAACTAGCATTTAGGTCACATCGGATCATACGATGACATATGAAAGCGCAAAATAGCCCATTACTTCAAATTTTCGTTAAAATGGCACTGGAGATGACACAACTTTATGGATGATCAACTTTTTATTTTGACAATGGTAACGTTTCGATATAGATTCTTACACCGTTATGAATGAACGGGGGAATGAAGGGGTACACCTGGTTATATACAAGATAAGATAAAGCGATAACAATACCAAGGGTGGGGAAACAACGCATCAAAGGAAGTTACATGATGAGCTACAATGACATGATGATGAGCTAAGATAACATAAATGAGATGAGTGGGATTACCATGACAATTAGTGAATGTAAGTTAATTAGGCAGAAGCCAAGGTGCTGGGGGATTAATTTTGAAAATGATCGGTCAACATATTTCTTTATTTTGACAATGGAGAATCAACTTCTTTATTTTGACAATGGCGGATCAACTTCTTTATTTTGACAATTGTCAGAATAAAGAAGTTGATCATCCATAAAGTCTTGTCATCTCTATACCACCACTCAAACAAATAAAATGGCACTGGCTGATGAATGGGCGTCAGGATCGTCAAAAATGATACTTTTCCGAGTGGCATCTCTTTCCTTCGAGACAAATCCGTTGAGGTTTGGTATGTTCTCTTGCACAAACAGGGTGGTGGGGTAGCCTAGTGGTGATCGCTCCTCACGCCGAATACCAGGGTTCGATTCCCCACGTGGGTACAATGTATGAAGCCAATTTCTGGTGTCCCCCGTCGTGATATTGCTGGAATATTGCTAAAAGCGGCGTAAAACCATACTAACTCACTGATAACAGAAAGAGTTGTTTTTGAGGGCAGAGCATGTTCGCAATGTCAGAGTTTGTTGGTGTTCGTGAAGACGCTCCATCAGCTGCGACCTGACTCGGTGTTAATGCTTGGCCAGTATGCACATATTGCCCGTTAGTAGTATACATGGTTCCAGGAGACTAATCATGAATGGATGCCCACTTCCAATCAGCGTCTAATCGTTCCTTGTCTATTCCAGGCGTGGGCATAATAGCATCTGTGGTAATTATATAATTTGGGATGCTACTAAGTAGAAACCATAGTTCCCCTAATAGAACAACCAATTGTGAGCCGGTATTGAGTGTCTGAATAGGGCCCCTCCAGTTCGTGTGAAGTCAGGGCTCGATAACATCAACACCTTGAATATAACAGTGAATAATTCGGTAAATCTGCTGTTTGATCCTTACACGAATAATAGTATTTATAACCACGGTTATATTTAAGTATTTTTATATATGACACGTCGCTTGTCAACCTGCTGTCACCTTTACATTGAGTTTCACAACCCACTGGCAACTGGGGTTAACTGCTTTAAGTGAGTGAGTTTGGTTTTACGCCGCTTTTAGCAATATTCCAGCAATATCACGGCGGGGGACACCAGAAATGGGCTGTACACATTGTACCCATGTGGGGAATCGAATTGGGGTCTTCAGTGTGACGAGGGAACGCTTTAACCACTAGGCTACCCCACCGCCCCTAACTGCTTTAATGAAATTGTGTTAAAGGCGATGGTACATGAGCAGGACTTTGCCCTTTCCCGAACACCTGGGGTCATTGCGGATTTGCAGAATCCATTTAGTTAATATTTGTATCACTATTTCGATTTCTGTTTCATGTCAACTCTGCTCTATTTCAGTAGATGTTCGAGACTTTTATTTCCGCTTTTATAGCTATGCACATATACGCACTGAAATAAAACTAACATAACTATTTAACATAAATGTCTGTTCCTATTTTCACTGAATTCGAAACCAATGAATCTATTTGTTAACTTCAAAACAGTGCCGAGACGCGGCTGGCCAACGTCAACAGTGAAGAGTTGCGTCCCTTGTGTATAATCTTTTCATTGTGGGTTTGAAGCCCGGTTCGCCCCGTTGAATTATATTTAGGTTTGTCAGCACCATACCTCGGTCCGTGTGTTCCTACAAAGTGGTAAACGTCTTAGACCTGCATTATTTCGGTCTTACCTCCACGGTAAGCTAACACTTTAATGATATAACCGGGCGGTGGGGTAGCCTAGTGGTTAAAGCGTTCGCTCGTCATGCCGAAGACCGGGGTTGGATTCCGGCCCCACATGGGTACAATGTGTGAAGCCCATTTCAGGTGTCCTCCGTCGTGATACTGCTGGAATATTGCTAAAAGTGGCGTAAAACTAAACTCCCTCACATACTCATGATTGTTGTAGACTTAGATAACATTAACTCACCTACTCACTCACTCAACTCTTAAACCCAACTCCGTCTCTCAAGTACTAATCAGCAATGTATATGACACATGTAAATCAAGATCGTTACAGGAAAGCTCCACAAATACAAGTACACGGGAGGAGCACACGATTTCACTGCAGTTAATATAAACATTCTACATTTTGAGTAGGCCTACAATAACCGGTGTCCTTAACAAAGGGAGGTAACTCATCATGGCCGTGTCTACGGCGTTGGACAAAAGTTGACAAATCCGGTCTGCTTTATAATCCGGACAAATGAGTCGGTCCCAGGCCAGTCCGTAACAGATCTAGATACAGATTCCACTGTATTGAAAATTTGATACAGCAATGATTGTAAGTAGGGCGGTGGGTCAATACAACGTTGAGCTAAGTAGAATATTGTGCTGTTGCAATTATCGGTGTTAAACAATTAGACCCAAAACGTTTCCCGAAAAAAGTGGGATGAAATGTCAGGCACAGGTGGCATGGTGTCAGTGACGTGGGTATTACTCAGACTTGTCAAACGTTTTAACGCAGGTCAAACGCTGGCTGAAATTGCCAATGCAAAAAAGCTTTGTCAAAGCTCAAACAATGCAGAAAACGACGTAATGCCTTTCACTATCTCAGAGGAAGCTATCGAGCGACACCTACAGACTAAAAGACTTAAACGAACACGTGACCTACATGTGTCCTGATTGAACCCCATTTCTTGTAAACGGCAAATGAGTTTTATATCACTTCAAGCAAGGTCTGGGCGGTGGGGTAGTCTAGTGGTTAAAACGTTGGCTCGTCACGCCGAAGACCCGGGTTCGAATCCCCACATGGGTACAACGTGTGAAGCCCATTTCTGGTGTCCCCCGCCGTGATGTTGCTGGAATATTGCTAAAAGCGGCGTAAAGCCAAACTCAGTCAGTCAGTCAGTCAAGCAAGGTGTTACTGAGGTGAAAAGCCACAACAATATGTGTATTGTTCAGGAATGAAGCAGAGCTTGGAATATACGCTCGATGGATACCTTTTATGAAGAAATTGTAGTACTCTGCATTCATTTCAATCAAGTTGTTTTATATTTGGCCAGATTACTTTCAATTTGTTTGTTTTTATCTGCTTTTGATAGAGTTAATGTGTTTTTTGTAATGAAACTTTATTGTATTATTTAACAAACAAAAAATAATGTACTTTAAGCGGAAAACTGGCTAAAGACTTTATTCACTAATTTACAGTGATCTTCAAAATAATATAATTTCAACCACTGTTTTTCCCTCTGAGACAGAATGAAACTTGTGTCGCCAGGTTATCGAAACTTGTTGTTCCCTGGTATTGATGCTTTACGGTATGGATAATTATGCACTATTCAAAACACTGTGAAGTGTGCAACGGCCAATCAATATAGAACAAACTTTATGTATAACAACGTCTTTTATTCGTGAGTGCGACGTTTCGATACAGATTCTTGTAGCGTTGTCAAGCAGAAATGGTTTCCTACATACCTGTTTGACAACGGTACAAGAAACTGTATGGAAACGTCGCACTCACGAATAAAAGACGCTGTTATCCATGAAGTTTGTTCTATATTGTACTTCCCAACTTCTAAACTGCCACTCAAAGAAGTTAACGGTCAATCAGTCGCTGTAGAATCATAGAACTGTGAATACTTCCCAAGCAATCCAGTTCCTAACTGCGTAGATCAATGCTCATGATGTTGATCACTGGATTGTCTGGTCCAGACTCGATTATTTACAGACCGCCGCCATATAGCTGGAATATTGCTGAGTGCGGCGTTAAACAACAGACCTGTCCAAAAAACCATCCGTAGCCACTGTTTGTGGCGTAAAACTACATGCTTTCTTTCTTTGTTTCGTCTTATATACATGTACATTTATACTAACATTTGTTTCATTTGTTTCAGTCCAACGATAGAAGAAGTGAAAAGTTGGGGCGAGTCCTTTGACAAACTGATGAAAAGTAATTACATTTTGAACAATCATTTACACATTTACTGGAACTTTCTATTAAAACATATTAAAACTCAAATTACCCTTTAGGTATTTAGTTTTCAGAATCTTTACAATGAATAATGACTTAAATGAAATAATGTGTTACTTGTTTTGAGCGGAATAAGAAAAAGGTTGAAATTTAGCTCGTCTCAGTCTCCTACACTACTACTTTCAATAAAAGAACTGAACGTGCAATTCGATGTGATCTTTCCCCACCTACTATAACGTTGATGTTAAAGTTGCTGTTCATGTCGATGTCAAACATGATGTTAAAGTTGCTGTTCATGTCGATGTCAAACATGATGTTAAAGTTGCTGTTCATGTCGATGTCAAACATGATGTTAAAGTTGATGATAATGATTATAGTGATATTTATGTAAACGTTGATGTTAAAAATTGATGTTGATGTTGACGTAACATGTTAAAGTGGATGTTTAAACTGTTGTTTATGATGAATGTTTAAGGTTCATGTTCAATACGATGTTAAGGTTGATGTTAATGTTGATACGTGTGTTTCAGGTGGACGGAAGGTGTTTAGGGAATTTTTGCGGTCAGAATACAGCGAGGAAAACATGCTGTTTTGGCAGGCATGTGAAGATCTAAAGCAGGAACAAAACCCAGAATTAGTAGAAGAAAAAGCACGTTTGATATACGAAGATTACATTTCTATATTATCGCCAAAAGAGGTATGTTGTAGAGGCAATGAAAATTAATTTGATTACATTATATAAAACCATAAACTGCATGCACCATTGAGGATTTCTGTTTCCTTGAAATAGTAATTAAAATGTGAGTCATTATAGTTATTTTATGTAATATTTAGAAATATACCCCTCAAAGGAATTTAAAGAATTGCTGTTGTTAATATGTTAAAGACGGGCAGCTGGCAACCCCCCTTAATTCTTATCAGATTTATTGACTCCCCCATGATGTAAGCCTCTTGGTAGATGTAAACTAGTCACTTACGTCATCGCTTTCCATGTCTAAAAGGAAACTACAAAGATGCCAGATGTATAAAGATTAATGTGTCTCGCATATTTGATAATGACTTATTCATGTGCAAATCGTTTGCATAGAGGGATTGATATCTTATGCTACTTATCACATTTGGCAGTATCTGCGCTTAATGAACATCATATGTTTTATGTCCAGAAAAACATGACTTTGTATGAATCCCGGAAGATAGGGAAGGGTAATTATTCATGTGTAATCATTATCTTCCCGGGGAGATGTTAGTTAAGACCTGCATACGCCCAAGTGTATTGATTGAATAAAATAACATTTCTTATTTATGTAGGTTTCTAGATATCCTATTGACTGTTTAGTGTGTAGTTTAGCAACTGCATCCCTATAAACTGCATCCACTTAGGATGCTGAGGGAGATCTGATCCGGTCTAGTGTGGGTCGAACTGAAAAGTTGCATCGGGGTAAACTCAAACTTTCATTTGATGAGGGCGTGGCACTGACAATAATGTATATGTATTATATCCGAAATTAACAGTTAGCTCAACAGAATATTCAATTTGGTTTCATCTAGTCATTGGGCAAAATACAATATCCCTAACCCCCACCCCCCACCCCCACCAACAAAGTGGTCCCACTTGGTTTTAATGCATTGACACTAAGAAGGCAAACTAGATATCAGCAGTGCTCTTATTCGTGTCTTACGAATGGAGATGTTAGCAGTGCTCTTATTCGTGTCTTAAGAATGTAGATACGCGTGTAGAATCCTCTGATGTTTTGGAAGTAAACTATTTTCAATCATCTTCTCATGATTGAGAGGTAGCCAAGTGGTTAAAGCGTTCGCTCGTTACGCCTAAGAACCGGGTTCGATTCCCCACATGGGTACAATATGTGAAGCTCATTTCTGGTGTCCCCCGTCGTAATGTTGTTGGAATATTGCTAAAAGTGGCGTAAAACTAAACTCATTCATTCATTCAACAAGCATCATCACCTTCCACTACTAGGGATAACAAATTGGGGTAAAACTCATGATTGTTGTGTTGTACTCTTTGTCTCGAGACCCGTGAAGGTCTGGGTTAGAATGAGCCTTCAGTAACCCATGCTTGTCGTAAGAGGCGACTAACGGGATCGGGTGGTCAGGCTCGCTGACTTGGTTGACACATGTCATCGGTTCCCAATTGCGCAGATCGATGCTCATCCTGTTGATCACTGGATTGTCTGCTCCAGACTCGATTACTTACAGACCGCCGCCATATAGCTGGAATATTGCTGAGTGCGGCGTAAAGCTAAACTCACTCACTCACTCACTTTGTCTCCAGGCTGGAGCTTTTTTACATTCAGTGTTTCTTTTATGTTTCAGGTTAGTTTAGATTCGAGAGTACGGGAAGTAATCAACAGAAACATGGTGGATCCAACACCTCACACATTTGACGAAGCTCAGTTACAAATATACACGTTAATGCATCGAGACTCGTACCCACGTTTTCTAAATTCGCAGATCTATAAGCGTCTTGTTCAACAAACTTCATGAATGTTATCATCACCTTAACCGTGTACCTTTCTACCAGGAGTGATGTGTGTAGGCAATAGTCTTCACTCCTGTCGGGCGACCATGACCTTCCCACCAGGTCACGTGCGTCGTCGCGTGTCACCACAAAGCCCTGTACAGCAACTTCCAGTTATGTTTTTATTTCCATGGTGATAGTGCGAAAGAGTCGTGGCGAGTAGCAACGGTTGGATGTCGTTGTAGTCGTCTCCCACTGTTTCATTGTCGTACGCTAATGGAGTGGACGTCGCTCCAAGTGATCTTAAGTCACGGATGCGTGAAAGTGGCTTCCTTCTGCGCATGTACGGAGGATATTGCCAACATTTGCTGCCAGGCTCATCGATGTGTAAATCAACAGGGACCAAAACCTCGAGAGTTATCTGCCCTTGAAGACAGCGCCACCAGAGGATGGGCAGAACAAAGCCCGGGCGGTCGAATGTATCTCATTAATTCTACCGAGTCCCTATTGTTAATTTCACCAAAATGACGGGTGAAGTATGCTCAATTTGGAGATGACAACAGCACAAAGATGTTCTCACTTATCATGCCAAACAGTAATTGACCTGTGATCTGATGGGGTGTAGTTTGGCAGTTGGGCAAAATAGTCCACCATTTTGATTATTTCCCGGCAGGATTATACAAATCCGGTTTATGTTAGTAACTTGCCTGGCAAAAATGTCCTGAGTATGAAGTACAACACAGGCAGAAGGATTAAGTGCAATATGTAAGAAGCAATTTATTTGGAAGTTTGAAACGTAAGAGTTCAAACGTGGTCTCGGAGTGGTCAGAACACAGTGTCCATTGATGTGGTACATGTATAAACACTAGAATCAAGGAAACACTCAAAATTGCCATCACCAGGCGAGTTTACATTAGCTACATAAGTTTGGGGTATTAGATGCAGATAGTGTTTGGGGTTTCCCTAGATGACAAAAAATACAAAATGTGACACTTTTTACGTTACATGCCAGGGAGCCAAAACTTATATTCATCAAAATTTACTGCCAGATTCTGGTACTGTTCCTGTCCGTTTTATTCTTTTCCATTTTAAGTTTCATGGTTTCATTGCAAGGGAAGTAATCCATGCAAGACATTGTCAAAATGCATACCAAAAATCGTATGCTATGATGCTGCCAAACTTTATTTCCATTTTGAAATGCATTCGAAACATTTACATGCATAAAACTATCATTTTCATTATTTCGGATATATATTTCCATGATATTCATGAAAACTTAAGTTGAAAACATCTTTGAGAATTAAAATCATAACATTGAAACATTAAACAGAATGTGTTATGCTTCTTTTCATTAGGTGAAACCTATCTGTGATAACAATAACTTATCAAATTATCTTCGGTCTATTTCATGTCATTATATTCTCCATATTTCTCATCTCAATCTGTCTGTAAAGTTATTTAGAGAGTGCAATGTTACGAATGAAAAATCATTATATATTAATCAATAATATATTCATTCTTCTAAGTTTATTTTTTTTATGTTAGATCGTTGTTGAATCTGTCCATCTTAAGTCGGATGCTGAAAGAGCCAGTAATGAATGCTTTAATCATTAATAAGAAATAATACCTTAAACTGGAGAAAGATTTACAGTGGTGCACAGGTTTGCCAAACTCTGGGGGTCTTGTGATAAAACGTGTTCTGATGCTGATCATTGGAACCAGCCGTACGTTTTACATTCGATTTGTTAAATTATTTTGTCATTTCTTTCTTACTTCCCGGGTTTGGCATAACCGCGAATAACTGTAATTAACAGATTGCACTGAACTGTAAACCATTACTAGTTAACACTGCACTTCGTCATTGTATAGTTATATGTTATTCCTAGATACTTGACCTGAAGTGTGGTTTATCCACAAAGCCTCAACACCACGAAACGAGCTCGCTAGATTAATGTATTAGAGAAATCGTCTACTGTTGCCCAATGATAAACGACGGATGCCGGTTTGAGACAGCATCAAGAATTTATATGTATTTCGTCACCGCTTGAAGAAGACTTGTTGACTTATGTGTCATAGGACGAACAGAATCTGGTGATTGATATCCCCGATGAGGGCTATGCTGTCTCACTTACCAGCCCGCATCGAGCACCAATCATCATGAGGCTCTGTTCATTCTACGATCTGTTTGAGATGACTGCATTGTCATAAAGCACCATAGCTTTGAGGTACACTACTGCAAGGAAAGCCTCTTTGTCAATCGCGACCTGGACGCGAACTGTTCGCGCCGCAGTCGGGATTGTCGAAATGGTTGTTGTGACCAGTAGCGCACAAACAAACATCCCGATGATCGCGAGCATGCCGCGAACTCGCCGCATCCAGGTCGCGGACAAAGGAACGTTTGTTTTAAGCAGTAGTGTATGTGTGTGCTATATGTATTGTCAATTACACTGACTGATCAGCTGACGTCAAACTGAAATGGATCACATGTCGGCATGTGATGGACACTGTAAAGTATATAGAACCAATGAAATGAACATACCCTTTACCTCTTGGTGTTGATAACGTATTCTACTTTACAAGTCCTGTGAAAAAAAATGCTTTGTGTGTTTTCAATGTCACAGTGTGTGTTTTTGATTCAACATTGTGTTGATTTCAGTGAAGTGTAATTATCCGTCTAGGTTTTTTTCGTTGGTCAGTCAGTTGTAAGCGTTCAGGTTGTTGCTTGTGAATGAAAAACGTTGAAAATTGGATTTACGAATTCGTCAATTCCTAAATCATCAAATATTCAGATTGTCATGAGGTACATTTAGATGCAAATGTTATTGTTTTTAATTATTATTTTGTTACTGTGTTTAGTTTTTACAGTTTATGATACGCTCCCTCCTCATACCCAGTGTATTATGTTTATGTTACTCATGTTTCTGTTACTCATATCGCCATGCGCAATGAAGTGTGCACATGCGCAATGTGTTGTCCAGCCTTCTTTGCCGCATAGTATGTGGCGGGGAACATTTCATAATAAAAGTTTGTGATAAAATTGGTTACAATATAAATTTTATTCTCTTATGGCCACACTGTGTGTATCGTTCTGTATTTGCTTGTTGTCGGCGATCTCAGTATGGAAATTCTGATTCAACAATCAAAACTATTACCGATGTGCTGTGTTGCGAGTATCTCAGCGTTATAACTGTGTTTAATGCACTCCCTGACCTTTGCCATTTAGCGCTGTACAATTCCGATATTTCAACAACGAAACTCATATAGTGTGTTTATTTATATTCCTCGAGTTCATTCCAACAATAAGACATATCTTTTCACCACTCAAAGTCCACCACCTTTCGAGTCTCGCTTTGACAGTAACCGAACCGAGATGTCATTATTCCTATATAGTTCTAACAACGGATGTGTAGTCTCGTTTACGTTTCACATGCTTTCGAGATTGTACCATCTCGGCTTATTTCTGGTTATCGCGAGACTTTGCGATCTGGTTACAATCGAGATTTTATAAGCTCTATGCGAAACGAGATTTTGTGTTCAGGTCCTGAGAGGGACTGGGAAATCTCGCTTTTGTCATGTCAGGGCGAGACTTCGCGAGAGAGGAGGGCTCAGTCACCACGTGACTTGAGATGATTGTGTTCAAGGACTGCTTTAATCTCGGAACTGTGACTTCCGCCGCGTGTGTTTCATATTCATATCATTAGGGATGTCTGGATCCTATATCAAAATTAGATATTCTTATATGCAACGGGTCTTGATACAAGTGGGCGACACTCATGAATATTCATCAATATTCGTGAATATTCCTTCTTTTCCTAAATTCGTCTTTCACAATGCTTGCCCACAAGGTGATATTTCATTATCGGCAAGCCAAGACTGGATCAACACTGAAATGTCCAATCAAATGGCCAAATGGCATTACTGAGAGCGGGTACCGCAGCCCTAGATTAGCCCTGTTGATCATGTTATGTACATGTGTATATTTCACGCAATGAACATGGTTGGTATACCTGATGCTTAAGACTCTTCATGTCAATTTCAGCAGCAGATCAGGTCACGTACTCCACTAAACACATGGCGTTTCCATTCTATTTTCAAAGTAAAAAAAGTCACTTTCAATGAAATCGTAACATGCTTTTGTTGAGTGAAATGGAAGGTATGCATGTCACGGTTTCAAGCGAATCTTAGGCTCCTTTGATATCTCCGTTACCAAGGTCCTTTATTAGAATACTTTAGATGACCATGAATGTGTTGTTTGGTTACCTGGAGGATGCCCATTTCTGTTCGTTAAAACACCTTGACTCGTCTGATACTAAGTCTGTTCAGTTCGACGCGTCAGTTTCTTCGTTGTAAAGTGTGGCCAGGTTTATTATGATAACTACTAGACTCTACCATCAGTATGCTTGGCGTTGTAAATTCATGTTTTAAGGACACAATTCATCCCTATCATGCGTCACACATTTTTGTACATACCGGAAATTACGTTTTCCACGAAATAATGACGTAACGCCAACGACCGATGACGTTTTCGACAGGGCTGTTCCTGTCCCGGAAGTGACGTCATCCTGTTGTGCATACTGTCTCACGCATTGAGTAACTGATTGTATCTTGCCACGTCTGGTGGTACAATGGCTAGATTTAATTGTCTTTTTATTGTTTCAGATTATTTCATGCCAGAGGGTATTACATTTATATTTATATCGATTGTTTAAGTCATGAATGTGGTTGTTTTGAATTAAATGATTCAATGATGTAAACTATGTCATCGATTAAAACTTCCTTAAAATATGTGGTTTTTGTTTTCCCTTATAAAGGGTATAGTGAAGAGAGATAAATGACGGATAGTCTGTCTCACGGACCAGAAAGAATTTGATGAAAAGGGACGCCAGCTCAAGTCTAGATTGTTTCAGATCAAGCTTCAAATTAAGCATTGTTCAGGGCTCCGTTTGATTTTTATAATTATAGTTTTTGTAAATATATATTTTCAAATAAGATTACCTTTTGGTGGGCTAAAAGTCAGTCAATATGACAAATTTTAGAAATATATCTATGTAGATGTTATGTTTAGAGAATTAATCCAGACACATACCACTTACATATTGTTTCATGCATTACAGAAAAGGACTTGATAACAATATTAATAATGGTATCTGACAAATTTTCTTTTCGGATTCTAATTTCACGACACATAAACTACATAGAATTCTGGTGATTGTAAGACAATATACCTGAATGGCTACTGAGCAATGAAGGCACAAATGTCCTGATTATAATTATCATTATCGAGCATTCGTTTAATTATCCAAGATTTATCCGAGTTCCACTGTCGGTTATTCCCCTTCAAAACCAATATCTGACTGATGAAGAGTTCTGTATACTACTGGCGTATTCACCTGGCAGCCATATCGTGACGGAGGAGTGTTGAGGGAGGGGAACGGGTCCGTTAGAAAGGAGATAGAGGGAGTATTTAGGGAGGGGAACGGGTCGGCTAGGGAAGAGATAAAGGTACAGTTGAGGGAGGGGAACGGGTCGGCTAGGGTAGAGATAAAGGTACAGTTGAGGGAGGGGAACGGGTCGGCTAGAGTGGAGATAGAGGGAGGGTTGAGGGAGGAAACGGGTCGGCTAGATTGGAGATAGAGGAAGGGTTGAGGGAGGGAACGAGTCGGCTAGAGTTGAGATAGAGGAAGGGTTGAGGGAGGGGAACGGGTCGGCTAGAGTGGAGATAGAGAGAGTTTTAGGAGGGAACGGGTCGGCTAGATTGGAGATAGAGGAGTGTTGAGGGAGGGGAACGGGTAGGCTAGAGCGGAGATAGAGGGAGGGTTGAGGGAGGGAACGGGTCGGCTAGAGTGAGGGAAGGAAACTGGGTAGGCTAGGAATGGAGATAGAGGGAGGTTGAGGGAGGGAAAAGGCAGGCTAGAATGGAGATAGAGGGAGGGTTGAGGGAGGGAACGGGTCGGCTAGAGTTGAGATAGAGGGGGGTTGAGGGAGGGAACGGGTCGGCTAGAGCAGAGATACAGGGAGGGTTGAGGGAGGGGAACGGGTCGGCTAGAGTTGAGAGAGAGGAAGTGTTGAGGGAAGGGAACGGGTAGGCTAGAGCGGAGATAGAGGGATGGTTGAGGGAGGGGAACGGGTCGGCTAGAGTGGAGATAGAGGGAATGTTTAGGGAGGGGAACGGGTCGGCTAGAGTGGAGATAGAGGAAGCGTTGAGGGAGGGGAACGGGTCGGCTAGAGCTGAGGATAGAGGGAGTTTAGGAAAGGGAACGGGTAGGCTAGAATGGAGATAGAGGGAGGGTTGAGGGAGGGAACGGGTAGGCTAGAGGGAGATAGAGGGAGGGTTGAGGGAGGGAACGGGTCGGCTAGAGGGAGATAGAGGGAATGTTTATGGAGAGGGAACGGGTCGGCTAGAGTGGGAGATAAAGAGAGTGTTTAGGGAGGGGAACGGGTCGGCTAGAGTGGAGATAGAGGGAGGGCTGAGGGAGGGGAACGGGTCGGCTAGGAGCAGAGATACAGGGAGGGTTGAGGGAGGGAACGGGTCGGCTAGAGCTGAGAGAGAGGGAGTGTTGAGGGAGGGGAACGGGTAGGCTAGAGCGGAGATAGAGGGATGGTTGAGGGAGGAACGGGTTGGCTAGAGTGGAGATAGAGGGATGTTGAGGAGGGAACGGGTCTGCTAGAGTGAGGGGAGGGTTGAGGGACGGGCTAGAATGGAGAGAGGGAGTGGAGGGAGGGAACGGAGGCTAGAATGGAGATGAGGGATGGTTGAGGGAGGGGAACGGGTCGGCTAGAGTGGAGATAGAGGGAGTGTTGAGGGAGGGGAACGGGTCGGCTAGAGTGGAGATAAAGGGAGTGTTTAGGGAGGGGAACGGGTCGGCTAGAGTGGAGATAGAGGGATGGTTGAGGGAGGGGAACGGGTCGGCTAGAGTGGAGATAGAGGGAATGTTTATGGAGGGGAACGGGTCGGCTAGAGTGGAGATAAAGAGAGTGTTTAGGGAGGGGAACGGGTCGGCTAGAGTTGAGATAGAGGGATGGTTGAGGGAGGGGAACGGGTCGGCTAGAGTTGAGATAGAGGAGGGTTGAGGGAGGGAACAGGTCGGCTAGAGTGGGAGATAGAGGGAGGGTTGAGGGAGGGAACGGGTCGGCTAGAGTTGAGATAGAGGGAGGGCTGAGGGAGGGAACGGGTCGGCTAGAGTGGAGATAGGGGAGGGTTGAGGGAGGGAACGGGTCGGCTAGAGCTGAGATAGAGGAGGGTTGAGGGAGGGAACGGGTCGGCTAGAGTTGAGATAGAGGGAGGGTTGAGGGAGGGAACGGGTCGGCTAGAGTGGAGATAGAGGGAAGGGAGGGAACGGGTCGGCTAGAGTGGAGATAGAGGAATGTTTATGGAGGGGAACGGGTCGGCTAGAGTGGGAGATAAAGAGAGTGTTTAGGGAGGGAACGGGTCGGCTAGAGCTGAGATAGAGGGAGGGTTGAGGGAGGGGAACGGGTCGGCTAGAGTTGAGATAGAGGGAGGGTTGAGGGAGGGGAACGGGTCGGCTAGAGTGGAGATAGAGGGAGGGTTGAGGGAGGGGAACGGGTCGGCTAGAGCTGAGATAGAGGGAGAGGGAGGGTTGAGGGAGGGAGGGAACGGGTCGGCTAGAGCTGAGATGGGGAGGGTTGAGAGGGAAACGGGTTGCTAGAGCTGAGGAGGGAACGGGTCGGCTAGAGTTGAGATAGAGGGAGCGTTGAGGGAATGTGCATGTAACAGGACACCTGAGGCGAAGGAATGGTCCGCTGGTAAGTGTCCAGGTAATACCTAGAGTTGGGATGAAGAAGAGTGCAAGGTTAGAAAAGAGTTAAGATACAGGAGAGTTAAACTAATTTGATGCGGATTGAATGGTAAGGTGACACAGGACTTGATATAACAGGAAAGTTGACAAAACTCCAGTAATAAAACATTGACAAAACTGCCGTCTTATTGCCGGAAATACTGCTGGTCCTGGCGTTTATAACAAACCAAAAAAACGGATTAAGATGGACCAATTTGTCCTCTGAGCAGTTAAAGGGAGATAATATTAGGTGGCTATGCAGTTTTTGTCAATTTGACTAGGACACCGACCTTATTCGTGTTCCTTCTGCATGAGCGTATATATTTGTGTTTATGGTTTTGTGAATGTCATTATAGTGATTGCGGAAAGAATATTTTAAGGCTAACGTTCCATTTCCAACATGAATTGTCTGTTTTATGGAATTAGTTTACGACTGACGACGAGCGGATAGCACACAGCATCTCAGTACGCTAATGATGTAACAGTTAAAATAAAAAAGAAATTGAAATGGAATACCCCCTCCCCCAAAAAAACCCAAAACAAACAAAAACAACAACAAACAAACAAACAAAACAAAAACAAAACAAAACCAAACCAAACCAAACAAACAAAACAAAAACAAAAAAAAACAACAACAACAAATAATTAAAACAAACCAAAACAATCCAGCCAGCGGAAGAGTAATCGACTTCAAGACGGTCATCATTATCTGTGAGCATAACGGTAAGTCGGTAGAGACAGGCTACCGTCGGCAGAGACGGGCTCTGCATCATAACTGTGGAATATATACACAATATTCGAAAATAGACAACAAGGTCTTAACAAAATAGACAATCTTTGGCACCAGCTTCAGGCTCTCCGTTTGCATGGCATCAAACATTCGTGACCAACTCGTGTTATTCCGGGACAAGCCGAATAGCGACTTGTGCCCCTCTGGAAGCAGTTCATATTGGCGCATGAACATCAGAGTGAGTGAGTGAGTGAGTGAGTGAGTGAGTGTAGTTTTACGCCGCTTTTAGCAATATTCCAGCAATATCACGGCGGGCATGAACATCAGAACTACTATAGTACTTACAACAGGAACGACAACTCTATTCTTGTTTGATTCCAATGGTACTTAATATCACCGAGGTAATCATACATTGTATTGCTGTTTATGTTTTTAAAGAATTAAACCTTGTTGATACAACTGAAAGGAGAAAATCCTATTGTTACAGACTTATTCTGACGTAAGTATTACCATATATTCACCTTATATTTCCAATTATATTTCAAAATAGGGTTTGATAATCACAAATGGGATTTGTTTTATTAAACATGTAAATAAAAGCTACATTAAATCCCAAAGCAGAAAGTCAAAAATGGCTGTAAAATATTTATCAAACTGAACATTAGTGTAACCTTGCTGTCATACCCCAAAAGCAATTTTAAATGAATTGAAAAATATATGAAAGACAACAAAAACGTCAGACTAAAAATATTCCCAGAGAGGTGAAATATATGCCCATTGTTAAAGATTAAAGTTGATTAGTTACATGCAGATATATGTCCAATATTATTGTTTGAAACTCGTAGCGATTTATAATTACATTGCCTAAAATTGTTGGAAGCGCACGTACAATCTCCATAGCAAGCCCGCAAGATCGTCAGAAATACCCTCAGTTGGACCCATGAGAGCCGTAATGTCAACAAGCGCACGTGCGTGTATTTGAATCTCTCACCGTCAATCGCATGATTCTTATCAAAAACTTCATAATAGGCAGCAAATCCTGTCAGCTAAGTTCTGTGTACTTTCAATGTGACGATATATATGTTTCATGCTTTTTTAAACAATGACATAATGCCATAAACGATTTAAGTACTCGGGATTATTTTTACCAAAGCACCGCAGTCATTTACGCGCGTTCTGATTGGTTTGTCGTATTTTCGCACATAACAATCGATAGGGGACGAGTCTTCTTGGAGTTTACGGAAAGGGGCGAGTGGTGA